TAAATTATTCCCATAGATTTAACAATTGTTACGTAGATATGACTTGTTTAATAATTACAGATCCCAATGTGAGATCAATGGCAGTGAGTAACCTAGTAAATATGGAGGTAGTGCTCCCAGAACAAACTGGTTTGTTATTTACCTATTCTAGTATAAATGCGTAATAATACTAGTATTTTAGAAAAATTGCAATAGTATTCAGAAGTGTTAAAACAAAATAACGTTTTATCATTGCATTCGTTTCTTTTCTCTTTTTTTCATGAACATAATTCTTACAGACTCAAAGTTAAAAGCTACAGACCTGAAAGATCAGGAATGCATTGGAGCCACATCACCAGAAGCTCAAGGTTTGTTATTTCCAACATGCGTCCATTTTTTGGTAGTCGAGATTCATATTTTATTTTTTTTTATTTTTTTTTTTACATATACAGTGTATATGCCTTTTGTACTGTATTCAATGACTAACACTGGATTAATGAAAAAATGTCATTGTACTCTTCTTACTAATAATTATGCTTCATGCAAAAATGTAGGGGATATAAAATTTGATAAGACGTCTGTAATCAGATCTACTTGTACCTGTATTTTTTTTTAATTCCTTGTCTGCCCCTCTATCCCGTTAATATCACTCACTGGATAATTCTTAATATCCCCAAAACATTTTAAAACATTGGTAGTGATGTATAAATCATGATGGGACTTAATAAAATCTTCCATGATTAGGCTGGATTTCTATACAGTCTGTTGCGTATTTTTTATATCCTCTCTCCAAGGCCCGGGGATAAACACACACACACCCTCTCCTCTCTCACACACAACTCTTTGCATAACAATCAATGGGGGATCCAATAATACATATATTCCTGGTTTCGAGGGATGATATACTGTTTTACCCTTTTGGTTCTGTTTGTCTTTCCGTATCAAACTTCCGTGGCAGATTCCTCAGCAACCTCTCAACGCAGATGCTCGATAATTTAATAAACTCTTTATTTAAGCATGCCCATACGATGGGATAAATTTCAGTACAAATCTGATGTCAGCTTCCTTTCAAATGACAAAACTGTGGCAGTTCGTAAATGCCACAGTTTTTATCATCTTTTACACACTTTTATTATGTACTGCATATCCTCACCTGAGCAAGAGAATTACTAGTGAGCATCGGCTAATAGATTTAATTTCTTTGTTTGATTCTTTGTTTACTTTTTGTCATCACAACTGCACTAAAATCAATACACAATTTAAATTCATCAAACCTTGTAGTTATTGGGGACATGATATTTACAGGAAAATATTATTCCTTATATTCCTAGGAATTATGCACTTTTGAACTTGGCCATTGTGAATATTGAAATTTAAAAATGAAAGAGTTTGTTATCGCTATTCATCTGAAACTTCTGTATAAGAAATCATAAAGTATTGAGACTTTGTAGTTAAAAAGGACGTGTAGATATGTTTGCATATTCACAGAAAATTCCCTTTGGACCCTAATTTTAACTAATTCTTTTTTGGAGAGGGGGAGGGGGGGGCACCAGTTTGATCATTATATGTATACCCTTTAAAATGTATTTCGTATTGTGCAAAAACTCCAATTGTACCATATGAGAGCATGGAGTGTGTGAGTTTGCTCACTTTGTCTTTCATTATCATTCAATTAATTATAATATTAAAGTGTTATAAAATATTTATACATAATTATGTTTGTTTATTTTTAGAAGGGACAAAAGTGTGGACGACAAAGGAGGCTAAAGCTCTCTTTGAGATGCGGAAAGAATATGAAGAAAAGTTCGGTTCAATGAAGTGTCATAAAACACTGTGGGCCCAAATATCCTCTTCACTTTCCAAAGCTGGAGTAGTGGCATCGGCTATGCAATGCAGTAACAAATGGAAAAGCCTTAAAAGAGAGTATAAGAAAACTATTGATCACAACTCTCACACTGGGAATGAGAAGAAAACATGTCAGTTCTATGAGGATTTCAATGAGATGTATGGTCACAGAAGTGGAACCCAACCAGAATTTGTAATGTCATCAAGATCAACTGAGAAGGAGTGTAGAAGAAAATCCGATTCACATAATGACGAGTCCTTGGAGTCTCCCGGCCCATCATCAACAAAAGAAAAGGAAAAGAAAGCTCCTAAAAGGAAAGGGAGACATGATGCTAATCTGGAGTTCTTGGAAAAATATGCCAAAAAACAAGAAAGTTTCCAAAAAGATAGGTTAGATTTGCTAAAAGAGCAACATGTAGAAAAAATGTCCATGATGGACAAATTGATGAATTGTTTTAAGCAGAAACAATTCTTAATCTTAATAATACTCGGATTAGAGGTATAATTTGCCTATCAATTTTTATTAGGTCACCTGAGTCACTCAGGTGACCTATTGCTATCTGTTTTCGTCCGTCGTCGTGTGTTGTGTGTCGTGCGTCGTGTGTTAACATTTGAACATTTTCAGCTTCTTCTCGGAAACCACTGAACCAATTTCAACCAAATTTGGTATACAGCATCTATGGGTGAAGGGAAACATAAATTGTGAATTTTATGATCCCCGCCCCCCTGGGGCCCGAGGGGTGGGGCCAAAACCACAAAAAATAATGTAATCTTTAAAAATCTTCTCTACTTCTGGACATCAAGCAGTCAAACTGTTGGTATGAATGTAATGAGCATTGAGTCCTCTACCAAAATTGAGAAAATTATGGCCCCGGGGTCAGGGGTTCTGGTGCTAGGGCGGGGCTATATAGATTATATAATGAAAATGCATTATTTCTTTGAAAATCTTCCTCTCTGCTCCTGGGTATTAAATAAACTAAATTAGTATATAGTTATAGTGAGCAAGAGTGCCTCAACCTGATTTGTAAATTTCATGGCCCCTAGCTGTGTCAGGGGTTTACCCATTTTGCGTAAGTGGAGTCTTTTGATTCTATAGTGAAAATACTTTAATGCTTTGAAAATCTTTTCGTTTGCACCTGGGTATTATGCCAATGATCTAAGTATATATATCTATGATGAAAAAAGGTGATTCTATCAAATGGTGAATTCCATGCCCCCTGGGTCAGGGGTAGGGGGTTGTTACATGTACATTGTCTGAAAATAAATTAATCCTTTGAAATCTGCTCTTGAGTATTAATCAACCATTTATGATGAAATAAAATTAATAAAATTTCGAAAATTTTGAAATAAGTGGTCTCAGGGTCAGTGGTTCCTTTGGGGTGGGGTGCACAACTGGTTATAAGTTGGAAGAGCATTTTTTCTTTGTTACATGTGCTCTGATCTACCTCTGGGTATTTAGTAACTAGAGTAAGTAAGCTAAGTGTATAATTATGATAAGCAATGGTGACTCTTTCAAAATTGTGAATTTCATGGCCACTGATTTAAAACATGAACCGAATTCAATTGTGCGAAAGTTGTTACATGATACTCAGGTGACCTATAAGGCCCGTGGGCCTCTTGTTTATAAATGATTTAGTGTTTCTAGCATTTTTTTTTCATTATAAAGTTCTTAACATTTAATTGCTGATTTTTGAATCAATAAGATTTCTCCTTGTTTTAAAATTTTCTTTTCTGTTGATACTTTCTCCGCAAGTAATGGACGGCCTTTGTATTGTCTCTTGTTTGTGTTGTATTAAAACCAGGTAGATTTTTTTTTTATTTTTACTGTTCTCTGTGCCAGAAAGCACCTGTCCATTTTCATTTTACTGATATTTTCGAGTTCCATCCTCAATATGTAGATATCAAGTAATATCTGCTTTATTTATATACACTTCATTTTTTTTCTTATATGATTTAAATGGTTGATTTTTATTGACATTAAATAACGGCAATTGCATTAAACTTTTGTCATCCTTTATTTGTGTCAATAGAACATTAGATGAAGATAATAAGAAGATACTTTTTTTAAATATTCAACTGAATATATTCAGGATATGTACTAAACATTGTGGAGACTATTTATTTTTAATGAGTATCAGGGCAAAAAAATTACAGAACAGATAACGGGGAAAGATAATAACAGTGTACTAATAATGTGTGGGTCGTGGGGTAAAAATAAATCTGCCAAGAAACCTCACCCCTTCTCAGTACCACTTACTAGGTATTTTCTCTTGCAATACTTCAATGTTTTTGATCCATAAAAAATATTTTTTTAAATGTGTTTGGTTGTCTTGAAGTATAATTGTAAAAATCACATTGCTGAAAGAAAAGAACATTTGTTTTTGCATGTAAAAGCTATTCCAATTCCTAGTAAAAAAAATTTAACATTTTTTAAAAAATATATTTCACAATGACCAATTACTTTTACACATACATTCTGATAACATTGAAATTACATTATTACAACTTGATGTACAAGACGTTTCCATGATTAGGTAGCTACTGAGCTACTGCAGGTTTTCTAAATAATTCACAATTGCATTTCTGCGCACAATTCCAGGAACAGCATTTCTGTACAAAGGACCATAGTTGTTGACATTATCTGCAGGAATGTAATTTTGCAAAATATCCTGAACACAATCATTTGACAATATACATAAATTATGTAACACACAACATGCAGTTACAACTTTACATGATCTCTGTATGTCCAAACAGGACAACTTCGTGAGTCGACGAAATCTGCACTTCAGTAGTCCTATCGATCTCTCAACTATTTGTCTAGAAGTGTAAAGTTTCCTATTGTACATCTTCTGCCCCTGTGTCAAATGAGCATTATCCCTGAAAGGGGTTAGCAAATACTCCTTCAATGGATAGGCAGAATCACCTACAATATATAAATGGACGAAATTTTTATGTGTATTGGGCATTTGCAGTTGTTATTTAAGAGCTTCTGTTGCATAAAGTGTGATAAAGAAAAACGTACCTAAAATAAAACTATTTGGCAAGAATGCACGCCCATTTTCCGCTGCTTCGCACAAGGGGGAGTTTCGAAAAACCCTAGCATCATGTGTGGATCCAGGCCAACCAACATAGGTATCGGTAAAAAGTCTTAAATTATCCACAACTACCTGCAATTGTAATTTAAGGACGGATACCCCTTTCTATTTATATAATCTATGTCTCCTTTAGGAATTCCATTTAGTGTGATGTGTGTACCATCTATCACACCTACTACCCCAGGAATTCCGCTATCCATTTCGAAAAAATCTGAAATTTCTTCCTGTCTGTGCGCATCTGGCCACGCTATCACTTGGCTGCGAAGGTCACAAAGCGCACTGCACACCGTCCTTATGCAAAGAAAAACAGTGGAGGTGGACACGCCAAACAATAGAGAAATTTCGCGCATGCTAGTAGTGTTGCACAAATACCACAAACAAATAAAAAATTGTTTCTCAGCTGTAATAGGACTCTTCCCTTGCGTTCTGTCTTCTTTGGCAATTTTGGGATCAATTTTTAACAGAATTTCTTGAAACGTTTTCTTGCTTAAACGATAGTGTTTCCTAAAATCAGTTTCAGAGAATTGTGGTACTGTACCTTCGTAAAAATTTTCTACTGTAGGAACATTTTCTCGAACGATAGATTGGTTGGATAGGAACTGAATTACAATGTCGTCATTATCTTCATCGAATTCATGCTCATTTACTTCTGTAAGTTCATTAGCGATAAATGCTGTTAAAAGCGCCTTTCCTGGATTAAATCCCGCCATATTTAAATAAACACTATACAACACGAGATGTTTTATTTAGATCACTAGAGTTCAGTCAGTGAGCATGCGTATATTTAACACTAGTGCGACACGGGTTGTCTTAATCGAATACACTCTTAGTGTGGTGCCAAGTTATACTGAAATCATACCAAAACAGTAGGAGGAGTATTTTTTGAAAATATTTGAAAAAATGTTTACAGACAGACGGACGGACGCATTACTATCGCATAAGCTCTTCTGGTACCTGACCAGTAGAGCTAAAAAGGATGATCCATCTTTGGTGTCTAACTATAGGCCTGTGTCGTTGTTAAGCTGCGTTAGCAAAATTATTGAAAGAATTATTTTCAAACATGTGCATAATTATTTTCATTGTAAAAATCTGTTTCATCGATATCAAGCGGGTTTTTTACCTGGACATTCTACAGTGTACCAACTTTAAGAAACTTATCATAGTATTGTGCAATGCATAGATGAAGGCAAATCGTGTTGTATGATTTTTGGCGATCTTTCCTAAGCATTCGCCACAGCTGGCATAAGGGTCTTCTGTTCAAATTACAAACGTATGGAATATATGGTGATCTTTTACTGTGGTTTACAAGTTACTTGAGAAATACATCACAAAAAGTTATGTATAAATATCTATCATCCAACCTCGATATACATGTATATCCAGGTGTGCCTCAAGGCTCAGATTTAGGTCCTCTTTTATTTCTGATATATATTATTTATGTTGCTGAAAATATGCTTTCAATGTGTGGATTATTTGCTGATGACAATTCACTGCAACATGCATCATTTAATTTACTAGATATTGAATACAGTCTAAACCATGATCTTGATGTTTTAGATACATGTAAATGGAGTTTGTATCAGCTTTGGTCTGATTTCAATATAACTTCTCACACAAGTAGACTACACTAAGATACATAAATTAGTGCATCAGGTTTTGATTTCAATGAACGGTGTTGCCATGGTTACTAAGAATAAAAATTTCTGTGAAATTCCTTTAAAACGCTACTCCTCCTACAGTTTTGGTCTGATTTAAATATAACGTGGCACACAAGTAGTACATAATTTAGTGCATCAGTTTTTGATTTCAGTGAACGGTGTTGCCATGGTTACTAAGAATAAAAATTTCTGTGAAATTCCTTTTAAACGCTACTCCTCCTACAGTTTGGTCTGATTTCAATATAACTTGGCACACAAGTAGACTACACTTAGATTCATAATTTATTGGCTCGGTTTTTGATTTCAATGAACGGTGATGCCATGGTTACTAAAATTGAACTCTGTGAAATTCTTTTAAAACGTTACTCTTCTTACAGTTTTACTCTGATTACAATATAACTTGGCACACAAGTAGATTACACTAAGATGCATAATTTAGTAATTTCCATTCTTATGTCGATACGATATATCCTGGTAAGCTTGAGATAAGATACCACAGAGTCTGACACACGTTTCATATTTAGATATTTTACTTGAAAAAGACGTTAATGGTAATGTCACAACCAAGCTATATGATAAACGTGATGACTTTCACTTTTCTATCGTCAACTTCCCTTACTTATGCAGCAATATACCTTCATCACCTGCCTACGGTGTTTATATATCTCAGTTGATTAAATACGCAAAAGCATACTCTACGTATGAACAATTTCTACAATGAGGTAAACTGTTGACAAACAAGTTGATGA